TATAATGAGTTTATACTGGTTTTAAGAGATCAGGGGTATCAGAATCACTAGTTTATATTTTAGAAAATTCTCTACTTCCCTTTTTTAAAAAATTTTTACCAATAACTTTGTTCCTTTGGATATTTTGAGTATGTCACCTATCTTTCATGTGGTGTAATGTTGATTTTTCTCAGTTAATGTCTTGATTTGATTATTACCAACTTCAGCTAGTTCACCCAACCATGGAACATCATCCAGCAAGAAATCTCCAGCACAAAATTTCACAAACTACTTTTTAAAAAAATTTTAAAGTATATCTTATTGATAATGCTATTACAGTTGTCCCAATTTTCCCCCTTTGCCAACCTCTGCCCCCCTTCCTTCCAACAACCCATCCCCCCTTAATTCATGTCCGTGGGTCATACATATAAGTTCTTCAGCTTCTCTGTTTCCTATACTATCCTTAACATTACCTTGTCTATTTTATACCTACCAAATTATGCTTCTTATTCCCTATACCTTTAGCCCTCATTCTCCCCTTCCCCCCGCAGCCGATAACCCTCCAGGTGATCTCCACGTCTGTGATTCTGTCCCTGTTTTAGTTGTTCTCTCAGTTTGTTTTTGTTTTTTAGATTCAGTTGTTGAAAGTTGTGAGTTTGTCAGTTTAATGTACATAGTTTTGATATTACTCTTTTTTTCTAAATAAGTCCCGTTAATGGCTTGGCGATGATGAATTCCTTTAGCTTTACCTTGTCTAGGAAGCACTTTATCTGCCCTTCTATTCTAAATGATAGCTTTGCTGGATAGAGTAATCTAGGTTGTAGGTCCTTGGTTTTTGTCACTTTGAATAATTCTTGCAAGTCCCTTCTTACCTGCAAAGTTTCTTTTGAGAAATCAGCTGATAGTCTTATAACTCATTTGTTGGTAACTCTCTGCTTTTCTCTTGCTGTTTTTAAGATTCTCTCTTTATCTTTAACCTCTGGCATTTTAATTATGATGTGTCTTGGTATGGTCCTCTTTGGGTCCAACATGTTTGGGACTCTCTGCTTCCTGGACTTGTATGTTTATTTCCTTCACCAAATTAAGGAAGTTTTCTTTCATTATTTTTTCCAATAATTTTTCAATTTCCTGCTGTTCCTCTTCTGGCATCCCTATGATTCAGACGTTGACACTTTTGGAGATGTCTCAGAGTCTCCTTATACTCTCCTTGTTTTTTTTGAGTTTTTGTTTCTTCAGTATGTTTTGGTTGAATGTTTATTTTTCCTTATGTTCCAAATCATTTGATCTGAATACCAGCTTCCTTCCCTTCACTGTTGGTTCCTTGTGGATTTTTCTTTATTTCACTTACTGTAGCCTTCATTTCTTCCCTGATGTTTTTGCCATACTCAATAAGTTCTCTGAGCATCATAATCACCAGTGTTTTGAACTCTGCATCTGATAGGTTGGCTATCTGTATTTCATTTTTTCTTTTTCTAGGGTTTTGTTCTTCCTTCATTTGGGTTGTATTTCTCTGTCTCCCTGATTTCGCAGCCTCCCTGTGTTTGTTTCTGTGTATTAGGTAGAGCTGCTTTGACTCCCTGTCTTAGTATTCCTGTTAAGTTGTATGGGGTGGAGCCTTAGGTATTTGGCAGAGCAGGGCATCCTGCTTCACTGCTTTGTGGCTCTGTATGTAGGGGAGGGTTTGGAGAGGGGACAATACTACTGCCAGGCATCTGTAGGTTTGCTTGGCATTTGTCCCCTTTCTAGTTATTTCACCCACTTCTTGTATGCAGCTGGCACCTTTCTAGCTGTAGCCTTGGTGGCGATTCCCAGAGTGGGTGGGTTTGCATATGTTGTGGGCCTTTTAAATGGTCTCTTCTGAGAAACCAGGAGTTTTTTTCAGCTGCGCCCCACCACACCCCCACACACTGTTTTTTATAGCCAGAAGTTATGAGGCTTCCTCTTGCCAGCACTGGAACTCTGGGCTGTGCAGTCTGGCCTGGGTTTGGGATTGCTCGCTCCCAAGGTATCCCTCCGATTTTTATCCACCACGTGTGAATGGGAACCACCCATTCTGTCACTGCTGCTGCCACCCCTCTGCACCACACCACATCCTCTCTTCCTCAACTCCCTTCTCTGTTGCTCCTACCTGTCTGGCTGAATATGGCTTCTTTACATCCTTGGTTGTTGGACTTCCATGCAGTTCTATTTGCATTTCTGGGTATTTTTTATTTTGTTGTTAGTTTGATTCTTCTTGTGGTTGGTTGTACAAGGAGGTGAAGTGTGTCCTCCTATACCTCCATCTTAACAGAAGTCTCTTCCCATTTTTGAAAATCATAATATTTCATTGAACTTGATGGCTCTTAACTGTTTCATTAAGTTTAAATTATGTTTTAACTGGAAGAATGTAAGTTCTTTAGAGGAGAACAGCTGAAAGTTAAAAATTTCTACAGACTTTATGAAGGGAGACCCTATATCCTTATAGATCTTTGAGGGGTAGGGTAAAAGAAACAAAAACTGTTTTAACAAGAATTTAAGGGAAAACCTACAAATAAAGTGAACAACCAAAAATCAAAACCAAAAAGAAATATGTACTTTCAGGTCATTAGAAGGAAAAGTGAAAGGACAAAGATAACTAGGATGCATAGTTAATTTAACCAAAAGCTATAATCAGAGGTGAGACCATGAAAGTTGTTTTTTGTTTCTCTTTTTTTAATGACAAAGCCAGTGCTTATTTACTTAGTTTGGACACCTCTATTTACAGCTAGTTTTTGACTTTTTTTTTCTTTCTTTTGTGATCCTAGCTGCTTCTAGATTGGCTCTGCCAGGAAATCATTTTCTTCTCCTGACTCATTCATGTTTCAGGTTGAATTTTTATAACTAATAGGCAGGTAGGCCATGATGTGTTTAAAGTGAGGTTGGATAAATTTCACACTCCATTAATTTATAAGGCTTTTTATATGACTTGTTTATTCCGTTTTTCCAGAATAAGACAGTAGAACTTGTAGGGGAAAATTTAAAATAAGATATTAGCTCTGAATAACTCTAAAGATCTTTAATATAGAATATAGGATTATAGACCACAGTAATACTGATATAATCCAGGAAATTAAGATATAGCTCAATGTTGGAAAAAAATTACTCTGCTAATGTTTAAAAAAATCTCTGTTGGTCATGATTTATAAAACTTTCATATTAATGTTTGTTTATAGATGGTATTACAAATTGATGTGAGTGTAATAGGGCAGACTGGTTTTATCACATCAAGCCTGAATGACTGACAGACTGGTAAAAATTAGTTGGCATATAAAGTCAGTAATGGTTTAACATGGAAAAGTCAATTGAATTAAAGTTAATTAACTTTACTCAGAAACTACAATTTAATCCAAACCCAGTCTTTAGGTGCCATTGGTCCTAAACTGAGGTAGACATATGCCTAGATCAGCACAAGTTTTTTTTTTTTCTGGTGGAATCTGGGAATCTGTCATATTCATTCATTTATTCAACAAATATTTGTTGAGTACCTACTATGTGCCTATTCTTGTGGACACTTATAATGTATTGGTAAACCAAAGATCCTTAACCTTTTGGTGTTCACATTCTAGCAGGTGAGCAATAGGTAAGTCAATTATATTCTCTGCTGCAAAGCAGTAAATACTATGGATAAAGTAAGTAAATAGAGCAGAATAACAAAGAACAGGAGTACTAGGGTGTGGGAAGAAGAGTTGCAATTTTAAATAATGTGTTCAAGGTAAGCCTTAATAAGAAAGTAAAACTCCAGCAAGGACTTGAAGGAGAGGTGGTAACTAGCCATGTAATATATGGAGGTATTCATTCTGAAGAAAGAAGTAAGGCAGGGTACATCTGGTGTGTTTGAGGACCTCAGGGAAGCAAGGCGGCTGGAGTAGAACATGGTATGAAACCAGGTCAGAAAGGGTATAGGGAGGGAGATAGACCATGCAGGACCTTGTAAATCATTAAGAGAACTTTGACTTGTGTTTTATGTGAAATGGGAAGAAGCGGAAAATTTTAATCAGTGTAGTGACATAATTTAAGTTTTAATAGGGCAGTTTTGACTGTTGTTTTGAGAGCAGACTATAAGGACACCTGGGTAACAGAAGTGGCAGGCACTCAGAGGTTGAATCCAGCTTGTATTCAGTCATTTGTCTCATGGTCTACACAAGGACAATACTTTGAGTGGTTAACAGTTTTATCTTGTGAGTCTGGCTGCTGGGATGTAGATCCTGGTTCTGTCATTTACTCTTTTATTTAGTAAGTGACTTCTATAACTTTGTCATTTGTAAAATGAGAGTACTAGTAATACTTCATTCAGTTATGATAATTAAACTGATACAGGTAGCACTTTGAACTGCATGGCACTGTAAACCTACAAGAGTGGTTGTTAATATTATTTATCACCCTGTTTTTGTCAGTTGCCAAGTCATGTTGGTTTACTACCACAGTGTTTATTTAGCACCGGTCCCTTCCTTTCCATAGCTGTTCTCAACATCCTAGTTCAAACCCACAGAAGCTGTTGGCTGGACTCTTACAGCCATTGCCTAATTGATTTCCTTGCCTCCTCCTTTCTGTCGCAATTTTGCACGCTGCTGTTAGATTGTCACATTTCTTCCATGCTCTAAAACCTTAATTTCTTTCCTCTTGCTTTCTAAATTATGTGTACATTTAACCAAGGCTTTTATTCATGTACTTACAACTTTTCCTTCTCTAACACAAGTATACAATACTCATGCCTTTACTCAAACTCTGTGGATCCTCTGCTGATTTCCTCTGCCATTTGAAATTCTTTTAATTTCACTTCAGGTGGCGGCAACTGCACTATGTACTTCACATCTCCCAATAATATTCCCACTCTAATCATCTGAGTACTTCTCTAATCCTTATTTGGATTTTGAACATTAGATACAAGGAATTACATCTGTTACAGTTTCACACCTGCATTTTGCTGTAGCTCCACACCATATGGTAGGTGTTTTAGTAAGTATTTATTGAATTTTCTTTCAATTGTCATTATTTTTCTCTAGAAATGATCAACAGCATCAAGCAGCTGAACTTGAATCTGAAGAAAATGTTATTCCAGATTCACCAATAACAGCCTTTTCATTTTCTGGCATTAATCGGCTACGAAGAAAGGAGAACCTCCATGTCCGCTACAAAGAACAAACACATACTAAACCAGAGCAGTCTGGGTGTACAAATGGTAAGGATTAGATTTGTATTTTAGTTATTTGGTTTTGTAAAAATAGTATTTGTCTCTTGTTTTTGTGTTATTCAATCTAGTGGAAGATAGGTCGTCATTGTTCAGGTAAACTTATGTTACACCTGTAATTTAACTTCTGTTAATGAAGTGACTAGGAAGGCATTTTCTGTCTATATTACATGTAGACTTGTGTTGCTCTTCTCAATATGTAAACACCCAGCATTTTATAACATGGTAAGTAGTTTCCTGCTTTTTTTGCTTTAAAAAAAATTCTTATATGCATCTATCTGAGAGGGATAAAAGGAAAGAGGAAAGGAATTTAACATTAATTTTTACCTATGTCAAGTATTATGCTGAGTGATCTAAATACATTATTACTATATTTTAATTCTCATCACAGGCTTGCAAGGCAGCTATTAGCACCTGTATTTCATAGGTGATGAAAGATGCTCTTTAGAAGAGTTAATAACTCACTCAGGGTCCCCTGTCAAGTCATTAGATGAGTCAGAATTCAAGTATAGATCTTCCTTGCTCTAAACTCTTTTATTTTCCAGGTCTTGCCCACAGCTATTCCATGCTGAGAATCCTGTCTTTAGCTAGCTATTTTTACTTGTTACAATTTATAGCAATTGGTGGTAATCAAGTAATGGCCTTGTAATGTGTCTACCATGTGGCTTACCATTTATGTTAAAATTTTTGGAACTACCCTTCTTTGTAGTTCTGAAATTTAATATGTGACATGAGGCAAAGATTATTTCTTTTAATATTGATCTATAATAAATGGTAAAGACTTTACTTTTTAACCTAAACTGTTTGTAAGAAAGGGAAAGCATTTAGGGGGCAAGGAGTGTACATAGTTCTAGAAATATATTTATAATGCAAGTAAATTAACAGTATCCATGCCTTTGAAAACATAAGTAAATTTTATTCTTTGATATTGTAAAATTGGCGTCATTTTCATCATTTTATATGACCTTGCATCACCATCTAGTGGAAAAACAAAGAACTGTTAACAATCTTACACACATTTAGGAGCTAAAGTAAAATGTAATATTATAGATCTAGAACAAACAGTGATTGGTCTTTTAGTTTGTTATCAGACAGGACAGGAGTCATGTAAGAGCATCTCCATAATTTTGGTCATGTTTAAATCCACGTGTAACATTATTCAGGAAAACAAATCACAGCGATTTTCTTTATTAGAAAAGCCTTCCTTTGTATCATAAAAACTTCTGGTTTGTCCTGGCTGGGTGGCTCAGCTGGTTCGAGCATCATCCTATAAACTGGAAGGTTGTGGTATTCAATCCTCAGTCTGTGCACAAACCTAGGTTGTAGGTTTGATCCCTTGTGGGGGTATGGATGGGAGGCAACTGATTGATGTTCCTCTCTCACATCAGTGTTTCTCTCTCTGTCACTCTCTTTCCCTTCCTTTGTCTCTAAAATCAATGAACATACCCTAGGGGGAGGATTTAGAATTTAAAAAAAAACTTATGGTATACTTTTTGTATGGGAATAACATATAACTATTTAAAAATTTGATTTCTCTGTTTTAATATTATCCTAATCATTTTTATTTGGAATCTGAAATTTTGGTTTAAAATACAAAATAACATTTGAGCAATACAAATTATTTTAAAACTGACTGAATGACTCTTAGTTTTTTTTTCTCTTTCTAATCACCTTTGCTTGTTTATTTTAAAGTTTATATTTTTTTAATATTTTCAGGTTATAATTAGTATGTCTATTTCCTTTTACTTTTTTAATAATATATTTTATTGATTATGCTATTATAATTGTCCCATTTCCCCCCTTTTTCCTCCTCCACCCTGCACGTCCCCTCCCATCCACATTCTCCCCCTTTAGTTCATGTCCATGTGTCATAAGTCCTTTAGCTTCTACATTTCCTACACTACCCTTGCCCTCCCCCTGTCTATTTTCTCTGCACTGTCTACGCTACTTATTCTCTGTACCTACTCCCCTGTTGCTAACCTTCCATGTGATCTCCATTTCTGTGGCTCCACTCCTGTTTTAGGTGTCCACTTAGTTTGCTTTCATTTTAGGTATGGTTGTTAATAACTGAGTTTGCTGTCCTTTCACTGTTCATATTTTTTATCTTCTTTTTTTTTTTAGAGAAGTCCCTTTCACATTTCATATAATAAGGGTTTGGTGATGATGAACTCCTTGAATTTGACCTTATCTGAGAAGCACTTTATCTGCCCCTCCATTCTAAATGAAAGCTTTGCTGGATAGAGCAGTCCTGGATGTAGGTCTTTGGATTTCATGATTTGGAATACTTCTTTCCAGTCCCTTCTTGCCTGTAAGGTCTCTTTTGAGAAATCAGCTGACAGTCTGATGGGAACTCCTTTGTAGGTGACTGTCCCCTTATTTCTTGCTGCTTCTAGGATTCTCTCCTTCATTTTAATCTTGGCTAATGTAATGATGATGTGCCTTGGTATGTTCCTCCTTGGGTCCAACTTCTTTGGGACTCTCTGAGCTTCCTGGACTTCCTGGGAGTCTATTTCCTTTGCCAGCAACAAGTGGAAATAAAGTTTTCCACTTGTTACTATTCCTCTTCCCCTTCTGGTACCCCTGTAATTTGTATGTTGGAATGTTTAAAGATGTCCTGTAGGTTCCTAAGCCTCTCCTCATTTTTTAAAATTCTTGTTTCTTCATTGTTTTCTGTTTGGTTGTTTCTTTCTTCCTTCTGGTCCACTCCATTGATTTGAGTCCCAGTTTTCTTTCCATCACTATTGGTTCCCTGTGCATTTTGCTTCATTTCACTTAGTGTAGCCTTCATTTTTGCATGTAATTTGCGACTCAAATCAACAACCAGTTCTGTGAGCATCCTGATTGCCAGTGTTTTGAACTGTGCATCTGATAGGTTGCTTTTGGTTGCTTAAAAGTATTGGCTCTGGGGCTTTGATTTGTTCTTCTGTTTGAGCCATAATGTTTTGGTCTATTTGCACCTGTTACGGATGAGGGGGCGGATCCTTAGGTGTTCACCAGTATGGGTCAACCCAGTTGCTGGGTTGTGATATACTGTATGGGGGGGTGGGGTCAGAGAGGGAACAAAGGCGCTTGCTCCGCTCATATTTCAGTCCCCTCTGCCACTTCCCACAACCAAATTGTGCCCCTCTGGTACTCGTTCCCGGCTGGGTGAGCTTGAATACGTTCTAGGACCCTAGGGATCTCTCCAACAAACTTGCCTGTGAGGCTGGGAGTCTCTCCTGGCAGCTCAGCCCCTACAGGTATTTTCAATCAGTGCTTTTAGGCTTTATTTCCTGTCTCTGGGCCTCTGGGTTGCGCAGTTCATCTTGCTGACCATTTTTGCCTGTTTTATCTACACACGAATGTGTGACAACGGTCAGCCAGCGGCCTTATGCACCTCACTGGGTCTGCTCGTTTCCTTCCCGCACCCGGGGTCTGCTAGCCCCTCGTTGCCTGTGTGCTGGGGTCTGCCAGCCACCACTTTTTCCTTCCGCAACCCCTCTCCACCAGCCACTGACTCCACCCCTCTTACTGGTCTGGATAAATGGTTGTCAGACTTCCGTACAGTTCTGTTTTCTGTGTGTCCTGGATGTGTTTTAGTTTCTAAATCTTTGTTGTCCTTAATTTTGGTTGTGTGAGGAGGCACAGTGTTTCCACCTATGCCTCTGTCTTGGCCAGTTCTACTTACTCTTTTTTTGTTTGTTTTCTTTGAATTATTTCTGGTAAAGCATGTTACAAGATTTCCTTCCAGAAAATAAAAACGGTAAAATAAAGATTGTGAAATATGTGATACATTATTTACTCTAAATTATTGTACTGATTTGCAAAATACGTAAGGAAAACATACATTACAACATTACAGCTCTAGGAGACTTGGGTCAGAAGAAGCTTGTTGGTTCTGGTTTCTCTTCTACTGTCCTAACTGCTGTTGATCTAACTTCCCATTTTGTTTTTAGTGAAAATATAGGAATGAACTCTTTAAAGAGAGATTTGTATTGGCTTATCAAAATAATACTTTGGTAATATTTTTCATCATGATTGTTTATAGGTAATCTCTCCTTTTCTCCCCTTAGAATTGAGAAAAGTTCCAAAATCTTCAACTCATCCACAGCATAAGCCTAATGAAAATGAGATTCTGGTGGCTGACACTTGTGATCAGAATCCATCTCCAGTAGCGAGTAAGCAAGATGTTGAAATTATTTTCTAAGTTTAAACTTTGTGGTCATTGGTGGGCAAGAGTGATCCACAGTCTGAATTAGACAATATGTTAAAATATTCTGTATTAAATTTTGTTTGTATTGCTAATTGTTTAGCAGTTTTCTTTCATATTAGGAAATAGTGTTTTACTATTAAAAATTACTAATAATTTTCAGTAAACAAATCTTTACTCTGATTTACTTATTGATTCAACAGATATTTCAGTGTTTATTATATACCAGGCACTGAACAAATCAAAGCCCTTAACTTTGTTGAGCTTACAGTCTAGCTGGGGAGAGAAAGAAAATACACAGATATATGTTAGGCTTTCTAATAATTTTTTTCACCCTGCTCTGCTCAGAAAAAATAAAACAGGGTAAGGAGATACTGGAAAGCCTTACTTTAAAAGTAGTTTATGAACAAAGACTGGGGGAAGCAAACGAGTCATGGGGATATCTGGGAGAAGCACATTCCGGGTAGAGAAGAAGTCTGTGAGCACAAAGAACCTGAAGTGAAGGTGCTGTTTGGTTGGTTTGAGGAACCTTAAGGAGGCCAGTGTGGCTGGAGTAACTGAGTGAAGGGGAGATTGGTTTGGGGATCTCTGTTCTTCAGAGAGGGAAGAGGCTGCGAGCAGGTTTGCAGGGTAGGATAGGGGTGGTTAGAAATCAGGAGTTTGGTTTTGAGAGTACTCTGTTTGAGATTCTGGATGGACATTCAGATAAAGATTTTGGGTGGGAAGGTGGATACGAGTTTAGAGTAGGAGAGAGGAATGAAAGTGTTAGCATGTAGGTGGTATCTAAGCCAAGTGAATATAAATGGAGAAGTTCAAGTACTTAGACCTAGGGCATTACATTGTGTAATTCTTAAGTTTTACACAGTGATTCTTAAGTTTTTCTCTTTATCACCCCCACCCTAGACTTTCTAGATTTTTCTCTAATCACTTCCCCATGGAAATTTTAATAATGTAGCTATACTGTACAAATATATGTATGTCTCTGCCTTAAACATGAAAAGAGATTTTTTCTGTCTCCCAAGAACATTTTTCACCCCCTTGAAGAAGTAGTGATTTAGAGGTTGTTGAAATGAGGAGGATCCAACAGTGTAGCCAGTGAAGGAGCTACCAGTGAGATGGGGGGATGTGGGGTCCTTTAAGGCAGTTGGAGATATGGAGGAGAGGTCAACTGTGGCAAACAGTGCTGATAGGCCAAGGAAGATGAAGACTGATAATTGACCATTGGATTTGGTCACATGGAGACCACTGACTGTGAGACTCATAACCTGAGCTTGTTGAAGCGTAAGGGTGAGCAACTAGACTGTTTCATGTTCAAGAGAAACCTAGGATCAGAGAGAGTGGAGAGAGCACTTCTAAGCAAGTCCTTCAAAAGATGGGATATTATAGCGTATCCAGTATATTTTTATATTTATGGGATGATCAAGTAAAGAGACAGAAATTAATAATTCTGGAGAAAGAGGGAACAATTGTCATATTCTTTAAAAGCTGAGAGGAGATGGAATCCAGAGCCCAGTTGGAAGAGTTGGCCAAGGTTAATCTCTTACTCATTTTATATTGGTATAAAACTTACTCTCTGAAAGCTACAAATAATTTTAAATTAGCATATGTATAAGTTTGTGTGCTTGTGTATAGACAGACCGTCTGGCAAGGTGTGCTAGGGGTATAGCAATGAATGGACAGATCCTTGCTTCTCAGCAAGGCCTCGGGAGCCCATTCTCTTCTGCTGTTGCCAGGAACTTGACTCCATCACTTGTCCTCTTTTCCTGTATCTCCTCAGTTTCTCTGTGGGTTCTTTCTTTTCAACATACTGCATAGATGTTATCTTTCCTTTTTTAAAAATAACCCCTCTCTTCATTGTCTCCATCCTTAGCTACAGCTTCTCTTCAAAGCTGGAAAAGTGATCTTTCAATATCTCTTCTTTCTCAACTCTCATTCACTTCATTTTGGTTGAATCCACTATCATCTACTCCCTGCTCCCACCCCTAGAGAGAGGTGGGCAGTTAGAGAAAGGGCACAGGGGAAGAGAGGAAGAATAGGGAAAAGAGGGAAAGGCAGCAGAGAAAGAGAATATATTCTCACATTTTCTTCTCTCATTATGTTGAAACTGCTCTGGCAAAAGTCATCAGTGACTTCCTGGTTATTAAATCTAAGGAATACCTCCCAGTCCTTATCTTACTTGACCTTCCTGTGACATTCGACAGTATTGAGCACTCTGTTTCTTGAAGTGATGCCACTTTCTTGGTTCTCCTCTTATTCTTTTCTCACCTCCTTTTATTGGTTGTTCTTTTTCTCATTTAAATGTTACTTTCCCCCAATATTTATGTTTCTTGGTCTATTCTTGTCTCACTTTCTGTCTCCTTCTGGAGGAATCTTGCCTAGAGTTAGTATTCTGCTACAACCTATGTGATAATAAATCCAAAATATATGTCACTATCCAAGACTTTTCCCCTGGTTTCCAAACCAGTATATGTTGAACATCTCTACCTGGATATCCTTCAACTTCTGTATGTCCAAAATTGAAATTTTTCTGTCAGACCTACTCCTCATCCTTTTATTTACAATCTCAGTGAATGACCCTCTACATACCTCTCTGAGTTACCCAAATCAAAAAACTTTGTGTTTTCCTAGACTCCACTCCTTCACCTTTCATGTTTGAATGCTCTCCAAGTCTCACTGATTCCATCTCCTGCACATCTGCCATAAACATTCTTCTGCACCCCCGTCATACTAGTTTGTGCTACCAGCCTTCCTAAGATTGTTTTAGTAATCTAATTAGTCCTCCTTTCTACCATGATTGCTTCTTGCTCTATCATCCTGTCATGGCTAGAATTACTTTTTAAACCCAAATGTTGCATGTCCTCTATGAAAAACTCTTGGGTATCTCTTCATAGCCTACAGGATACATTTTAAACTCTTTACCATAATCTGATTTCTCATTGACCTGTCTGGGCTTATGTCCCAGTACTCCTATATCTTTTACACTTTGATTTCCAGCAATTGAACCATGCTGTTTCCTGAACATGTAACTTTGTTTCATATATATAGACCCTTTCACATACCTAGAACCTTTCTCTTTGCCCCCAATCCAGTTGACCTGTCAAATTCCTCTTAGGCATCATTTAATGTAGCTTTTCTTGATTTTTCCAAAGCAAATTTAGGAGTCCTTCTATATTTAAATCACACCTTTTTCATGTACCTTTATTATAATATTTATCACATTTTATTGCAGTTCTCTTTTTACTTTTCTATTTCAACTATAGTCCATAAGTTCCTTGAGGACAGAAATCTTTTCATCTAGTGCCTAGTACAATGCCTGGAACATAGCATGTGCTCCATAAATACTTGTTGAGTTGTTGGAACTCTATATTTATAAAATATAATATTTGAATGTAGATGATTTCTGTGTAAATGTCTTAGTTTAAAACTTGAAATATATGCAGTGCTGGAAATCTTTCCCATAAAGTATGTTTTTATGAAGAGCATTATAAATATGGTTTGATGTATCTTAGGTCATAGTAAATCCATTATAAATACAATCTTATAGTATTTTTGGTGGCAATATAAAAAATCTGTTGCATTCAATTTACTTAACATAAATAGAGAACTTAGCTGAAAATGTTTTGCAAGTGTAGACGCCAGATATCTGCAACTTACTGTCATTTATAATAGATATTTTGGGCACAGATTTTAAAAATTACTCAGTGCTAGCTTGTAAAATGTTTCTGAGAGCCTTTTACTCCGTTTTTGTATTTTGTACATCTAGTTTCTACAATTGCATAATTGTTTTTTTCTTACTTAGAAATATGTGGAACAAGCAGTTACTCCACTGATAAGTTGCCTTTTAATTTAGCTGTGATTGTTGCTGAGACACTTGGACTTAGTGTTCCAGAAGAATCTGTAAGTAGTTGTTTGGTTTGGTGATAATATGAATTAATTGGTGTCCTTTTGGGGAAGTTCTTATAGAACTGAGCAAAAGTAAAACTATTTTTTCCAAACATCATTGAATAAAGGTCTAGAACAAAATTGATGTGGCTAGAAAAGCTCATTAAGTTATCCACTCAGGCAGTTCCAGAAATCTCAAGTCTTTAGAATTCTTGTGATACAGATTGTGGGTTGGATCAAAGTTTAGGGAATCATAATGGCGTAGAGGGTTTGGCCAGCCCTCTTCCCTGCTCCTTCTCCCCTATTCTTACCCTGTTTCATCTAAGAGAAGATCTAAACCTTTAGGTTTATTTCAGAGTTTATTGGATCTTCTCTCTGCATCCATTAAACTAGGGTTTGATTTGAAAAACAGGGTGAATTATGGGAACTACCATATATACTTCAGGTCTTTGTCCTTATAAGTGCCAGTCTAAAAAGACCTGATTCTTAAGAATTGGGTCAGTAACTGACCCTCTGATTTTTTTTCATTATTTTGGTGCTTCTTTACATCAGACACATTTATTTTTTTTCTTAATTGGTCCCTAAAAATTGAAAACTTGAATCCTTCAGTCTTAAGGAAGTTTCTCTTTGATATTCTTTAAAATAGTATTCCTATGCTTTTGTTGGCAAATGTATTTGTGCTCTTATAAAATGGTCTTGCTACTTATTGAATTTATAAAACTTGAATTGATTTTTTATTACATTTGGGTAATTGTTCTTTCTAGTTTTAAATCCATATTCAAGTGATAGTGGTAGTTTTTAACATTTGAACTTTAAATGTGTTTTAATGGTTTTTAATTTTCTCCTACCCATAATCCTGGCAAGTCAGTGGTTTTAAACACCAAATATATTAAGGGAGCTGATCTCTAATGATTTGGTGCTCAAATGTGATCCACAGGCCAACACCTTATGCATCATCTTGAAGTTTGTTAGAGATACAGAATCTCAGATACCACCCAGGCCTACTGAAAGAACACTTTGTATTTTAACAAGGTCCCCAGTTGACTTGTATGTATATTAAACTAGATCGTTGAATAAAGGCCTAGAATACTAGGCCTTGAGGACCACTGCTCTCTAAAGGAACCTTTTAAATTAATCTCCTATCAGAATAAATAATCACATCTATTCCTTCCCCTCACCTTAATAATTATTGGGAGGGAATGGGGTTTTATATATCAGTAATAGAATGTACTTTCCTAAAATAGTAAAATGTTAACTTTTTTCTTCTTTGAACTTAAAACATGCTTCTATATTTTATTGTGATAAAAAATGCACAATGTCCTGACATTGTAGCTCAGTTCGTTAGAGTGTTGTCCCGATAACCCAGGGTTGCAGGTTTTGGTCCCCAGTCAGGGCACTTACAAGAATCAACTAATGAACGCGTAAACAAGTGGAACCACAAAACAATGTTTCTGTCTCTCCCTCCCTCTCTCTCTTTCTCTGAAACCAATACAAAAAAATTTAATGCACATAACATGAAATTAACCATTTCAAAGTGTACAATTCAGTGGCATTTAGTATATTCACAATATCATGCAACTGCCACTTCTATCTAGTTCCAAAGCATTTTCATCATCCCAAAGGAAATCCTGGTAAACATTCAGTTTTTGTTTCCCACTACTTGCATCCTCTGGCATCTGCCAGTCTGCTTTCTGTCCTTGTGGATTTACCTGTTCTAGATAATTCATTTAAATTGAATTGTATATTATGTGACTTTTGAATCTGGCTTCTCTTCTTTATCCTGTTTTTGAGGTTCATCCACACCCTAGCACGTATCAGTATTTGATTCTTTAAAGGAAAAAATAATCTCATTGTATTTATGTACTTTATATTTTACTACTGAAGGAATCTCAAGGTCCCGAGAGCCCTCTTGGTGATGAGCTCTACCACTGTTTAGAAGGAGATCATAAGAAACAAACTTTAGAGGAGTCTACAAGGAAAACTGAAGATAGTTTAAGGTAATTGGGGGCACTTTGGTGAAAATTTCTAAACTATTGGTGAACTCCCATTACACCGAGTTCCACAAAATTAAACTATTTCTCTCCCTTAACATATAGTTTGTTATTCTGGTTGTATTAATTTTTATTTTAAAAAATGTTTTCTCCAGTTTATGACCAGTTGAGGGCTTTTTGCACTACTGCAGAGAAATGGATGTTACTTTTAGGTTCTTTCTGTACTTCAAGCAGTGCTTAAGAGTTCCCAGTCTTGCTACTCTGCCCTTTTAATGACTCAGTCATCCCTTCTGGGTTTGCATTTCCAAAAACTGGATGTTGTATAAAGCTTGGATGAGACTGTATAAAGATTGTGTTGCATTTCATTTTGACTAATTTCAGAATATTCATTAACTAATAGTACTATTAAGTAGCATTTTGCTTTTTTTAAAAAATGTATTTAATTATTGTTCAAATACAGTTTTCTGTCTTCTACTCCTATCCCAGCCCACCACCCCCCCAGTGCTTCCCACCTCCCTCCCATTTCCACCCCTGTTGCATTTTGTTTTTTAAAAGAGTTTTCAGTTTAAGGTACATATATCACATTTAGCTTGTCATTATAATAACTCATTAAAGAAGGTTTTATTACCCCATATTTTGCAGTCAACAAAAATGTAGCTTTAGAGTAGTTAAATGCCTTTTTTAAGACCACATAGCTGTTCACTCTTACCCAGGGTAAGTAGAGCTCTTACCCATCTCCCCCATCTTCAAACAAACCTAGTGCTCTTTCTACTACCAAAGCTGTGCCTCTGCTAGAGGCAGACTGTTTCTTTATATATGCTCAGTTCTGTAGTATAAGAATTTTATTTCTTGGAGTTACTCATGACAGGATTTCATAACACCAAAAGAAGTCGGGTCCCCAGTGGGATTTATTAAAGTATGATTTTCTTATATAGTGAAGATATTTAAATTATTTAGGAAAAATGTTTATAGGTATTGAGGTAGAATGACTATATATTTTTTCTCTGCTTTTTGTCAGCTAAAGAAAGAGAAACCAACAACTATATGCTATTGTAAATGCTGGTGAATCATCTATCTATAATATATAGATAAGACCTTACTATTAATAATTCTATATTAGCATATGGTTTCTCACCATACTTGTCTTTTAATTTTCACCTTATTTTTTAATCAGAAAAAAAGTTTTACCACTCTTTATTCTCTTAGATTTTCAGATCCCAATTCAAAGACGACTCCTCAAGAAGAACCAACTACTCGGATATCATCTCCTGTATTTGGAGCTACCTCTAATGTGAAAAGTAGTTTTGGTTTGAATACAAGTTTGTCCCCTTCTCTTTTAGAGACCGGGAAAAAAAATCATCTGAAAACAACACATTTCAGCAGCACCTCTAATTCTAGGTCAGAGAAAATTAGGTCAAAATCTGAAGATAGTTCCCTTTTCCCACATCATAATCTTGGGTCAGAAGTGAACAAGATCATTAACCAGTCTTCTAATAAACAAATGCTTATAAATAAAAATATAAGTGAATCCATAATTGCACAGGTTAGTATTGATCACATCAAAAATACTATTACTGATAAAGATAAACATGGGGTACCACTGAAATCATTGGGGTGCAAAACATCCAAAAGGAAGAAGATTGAAGAAGATAGTGAAGATGAAGTAAGCTGTCCCCAAGCCTCTTTTGATAAAGAAAATGCTTTTCCTTTTCCGATGGATAGTCATTTTTCTGTGAATGGAGACTATGTGATGGATAAACCTCTGGATCTGTCTGATCGCTTTTCAGCTGTTCAGTGTCAAGAGAAAAGCCAAGGAAGTGAGACCTCTAAAACCAGATTTAGGCAAGTGACTCTGTGCGGGGCTTTGAAGCCCACGTCAAAGATCTCTTCCTCAAGCAAAAAGGCCTTGAGTGGGAGCTGTGTGCAAACCAAAGATTCCCCAGAGGAGCCCTGTTTACAGGAGTGCGTCCTCCAGCCCCTGAGTAAATCCTCCCCAGATAACAAAATACCATTACAAATAAAGGAGGAAAAGCCTACCTTTAAAATCCCTCTACATCCACGTGAAGCGTTGGAGACAGAGAATCTTTTTGATATGAAGGTTTGTGTTAAATGTTCAAGGGTTTTGGTTTAAATGATTGTGATTTCATCTAGATGCTAATAATTCTTTCTGTTTTAGGGTGCTGGTTCTCATGAGCCACTAAAAATAAAAACCAGATCAGCTCATGGAGCCTGTGAACTTGCATCAGTTCTTCAGTTAAATCCATGTAGAATCACTAAAACAAAGCCTCTACCAAACAACCAAGGTATGTGCACTATACATAGTATTTCCCCTCTATATTTATTCTCTTGTAGTATTTAAGATAGTAAATATCTTAATTAAATATATTATTTACATTCTTCGAATAGCTTGAATTGTTTAGGGAGAAAATATTTTCTTCCCGCATGCTTTTCTGTGTTTATAAAATAGCTTTCATTGGATTTATTTTACATGTGATTATCCTTGTGCTTTTAGAAAAAAATGACATGAGATCTTTAATACCTACTTTTTATAGGTGATTTTGTGGATTTACCTATTTTATGTAGTTATTTCTTATTTTCTTTACAAAAACTTTAAAAAACTTAACACAGAATTTTTAAATGTATGAAGTAGAATTTTCACCATCCAAAACTTGTTCCTTAGCCCATAGATGGCCTGTTCTCTTTCTCTGCATTTACATGTCTATCAACGTGTACACATAGACATATGCGTAGAGATTTATGTGGGTCGTTCAGCTTCTAGTGTGAGAACATTGTTTGCTCTAATCTTGTGTATATGTATTAATCTTTTCATAAGTCTGCTGTGTTTAAAAGGAGTCTTTTGGGGGGTTTTGGCCATCAAATATTTCTGTACTTTATGTGCAGTATTTTTTTCTTCTATTCTTCATTGGGAAGTTATTTCTTCATTCTGGGTTTATTTTCTTGTTTTCTTGTAGCACATTTTTTAATTGTTCTTCCAATAAGAGTTCTGTCTCTGCATAATTTTTTTCATTCTCAGTCCTTTTTTAAAGTCTTTTTTATCATTGTTCTAAAGAATACAGTACATACCTGCTTAATTTTTCATAATCTGCTTAGAATTAATATTGTACCACTTTATAATCTGTAACTACACCTTATGTAGTAGTCACGTATCTCTACAGATATTGAAAACCCCTTCAAACAGTGTTACAGTTTTAACTTTAAAAAAATTATATTGAGCCCTGACTGGCGTAGCTCAGTGGATTGAGCGCACCCTTGTGAACCAAATTAAGGTTCACTTCCCAGTCAGGGTACATTCCTGGGTTACAGGCCAGTTCCCAGCAGGGAATGCATGAGAGGCAACCATACATTGATAATTGTCTCCTTATCTCCTTCGCTTCCCCTCTAAAGATAAATAAAAAAAGAAATAAAAAAAACCTATATTGACATAAAAATCACATATTAAAATTCACAAAGTTTATAAAATTACTGGTTTCCTTATACTCCCAGAGTTGTGCTACCATTACTGCGGTCTCAGTTTAGAACATTTTCATCATCCCCCACAAAACAGAAAGAATAGTACCCATTAGCAATCATTCTTCATTCCCAATCCTCTTCCCCAGCCCTAAGCAATCATTGCTTACCCAGGTCCTCCTCTGGCACTAGTCCCCCTCCCCTCCAGTTGAGAGAAGATGCTTATATATCGAAGCTAAAATGTTTTACAGGCAATAAAACCTGAGTCTGTCTGTATTCCTAAAAGATAAAAGTAAACATAACTGTCTGTCTCTATAGCTTTGTCTTTTCTGGGGTTTTTATAGAAATGAAATATAATTTTTGGGAGTTTTTTACTATTATTAATAATGTCAATGAATATTTATGAACAGTTTTGTATAGATGTGCTTTCCTTTTTTTTTTGAGTTATACATAGTAGTAGAAATGGAACTTTGTACTTTATAACTGTTTTCCAAAACAACTACATCATTTTCTATTCCCACCAAAATATGAGGATTTCATTTTCTCTACATCCTCACCAACACTTGTTATTATATGTCTTTTTGATTCAGGCCATCTTACTGGGTGTGAAATGGTGTCTCTTTGTAGTTTTGATTTGCCTCTCCCTGATGGCTAACGTTGTTGAACATCTTTTCATGTGCTTATTGGTCATTTCTATAGCTTTTTTCAAGGACTATCTATTAAGATTTTTTGCTCACTTTTTTAAAAAATATTTTATTTATCTTTAGAGGGAAAGGGAAGGAGAGAAGGAGAGAAATATCAGTGTATGGTTGCCACTCCTGGGTCCCCTGCTGGGGACTGGCCTGCAACCCAAGCATGTGCCCTGACTGGGAATAGAACTGCGATCCTTTGGTTCGCAGGCCTGTGCTCAATCCACTGAGCTACACCAGCCAGGGCAGATTTTTTTGCTCACTTTAACTGACATACTTGCCTTATATTGAGTTGTAAAAGTTCCTTATATATCTTAGATACGAGTCCTTTACCAGACATGATTTGCAAAACTTTTCTCCCGTTCTGTGTGTCTCATAATGTTTAAAATCTGTTCTTAATTGTTATATATTTTTTCCTCCTTATCTTAGATGTACCCTTTGAAAATATCCAGTGGAGTATAGATCCAGGAGCAGACCTTTCTCAGTGTAAAATGGATATTACTGTAATAGATACAAAGGTAAGTTAGGAAGTAAAACCAAAGGCCACGTAAAACCTGCACTTATTTATTTAGAAAACTAAGAAACAAAAATACCATATTTTGCCATGTATAATGCTCACCGTTTTGCCCACATTTTTAAGGGAAAAATAAGGATGCGCGTTATACATGGGTAGTACTAATTCCATATCTATAAAAATGTTTTTAGTTCTTTTATTTATGCTTATGCATAAAAGTGTAACTCTAGAAAGCAATAACAATACCCATGTGCAAAATAATATCCTGAAATATGATAAATCAGTTTTATATATAATAAAAATTTGAATAAAAAAATTAAAAGATTGTTTTCCTGAAAGTTTGGGCCAGAAACCTGGGTGCACACTATACATAGCAAAATACAGTATTTATTCTTCCAGCTTTATGGTATCCGAGAGACTAATAATACTTTCTGACTTTAGAGACCTTTGCTGGAAAATCTAATTACAGCTTTAAAGTAATACAGAACGCTAGTTATTTATTTTAAATAGTTATTTATCAAAACAATTCATCATATGCTTTAACTTTTAAAATAATGTGCTATCAAGAAAAAAATTTTATTTTCCTAATTGGCTACAGTTTAAAATTCAAAGTAAAAACAACTTAAAGAATTTATATAGTTTGAGAAGTTCTCTTTTACTTGCTAGTATATTAATAAAGTACTTATTAGTTGTTAAAGTAGTATATATCCATTAAGAAATCAGGTTTGACTTATGAAATTGCCGTTCTTCGCACACACTGATGTCCACTGCTGTGAGGCAGAGTGGAGAAGAAAGGGGGTGGGGGGGGCAGTGCAGTGCTCTGCGGCCCCTCCCCTGGCAGCATTGCCCCAAGGCGCAGAGGGGCCGGGTGCTGCTGTCGGGTGGAGAGGAGACGCTTGTGTATCGAAGCTCACTGTTTCACAGGCAATAAAACCTGAGTCTGTCCATATTCCTAAGGTAAAAATAAATATAAGAAAAGATAAACTTAATGCTACTGAAGTATACATTTTAGAATGGTTAAAATGGTAAGATTTGTTATATGTATTTTACTAGAAATGCTTTTTAAAGTAAATATAAAGCCATAAATGGATAATTGTTAAAATTTTGAATTTTAAAATATTCAGGATAGCAGTCAGTCAAGATTAGCAGGAGAAGAGACAGTGGACATGGACTCTACCTTGGTTACTGAAACTGTGCTTTTAAAAATGAAGAAGCAAGAGCAGAAGGGAGAGAAAAGTCCAAGTAAGATATGATTTTTTAAATTATTTTAATAAAAATATGGAGGGAAGTCTATAGTCTTACCATTGCATTGATAAGCACAGGTGATCTCTTCACCATAAACCAAAGTTTTCTTCCCCTGTTCTGGTAATATCAGATTTCTGTTAGTAAAGTGTAGTTTCAGTATTTCAGAGGAATAAAAACTTTTAGTCATAATCAATTTTACTTTAGAAAGAATTCAGATTGTTTCCAGGGGTAGCAAACCACAGCTGGCTGCCAGTTTTATAAATAAAGTTTTATGGGAATACAGCCTCACTGACTTGTCCATGTATTGTCTATGGCTGCTTGTTGACACAGCAGAATTGAGTAGTTGCTGCAGAGACTTGCCTGGCCCCAAGGCCTACAAATATTTACTCTGTGACCCTTAAAAAGTCTGCTAGTCCAGCATGAAGCCAGGGCATGAGGACGGTGGTCCTCAGCTGGAGCAGTAGACCTGGGTCCAGGCTGTAGGGTGTGGGGAGGAGTGCTGTGCCACTCTGGAGGGGAGAGGTGACTACAGAAGGAAGGGAAAGCCACTGCCCTGTGAAGCACCAGCAGCGGGCACAAAGCCTCAGTATGGCCTGTGAGGCTTCAGATGGTGAGAGGAGAAGGGACCGAGCCACTCAAGGTGCCAAGTTGGGAGCCTCAGGACTGGCAGCAGCAGCTGGCAAACCTCACACTGTGAAGAATGGGAAGGGCGTGCCTTTGGACCAGCAGGGGGCTGGGCACTACTGTAACCTCAGTGTGCCCCAAAGGTGCAGAGGTGACAGCAGCGCATGCAGCAGGTGTGGGCCCAGGGCCTAAGGGTGGGTGGCATCCTGCAGACAAATGACAGCATGCTGGTCACACTTGTCTACCCTGTGGGCTTTTGGATAAACATGATGAAGTACATCAAACAGACCAGTGCCATCTTGTAGCAACACTGTGGTGGGGACATCACAGCCTTTGTGGCAAAGCTGGTGTCACTCTTAGGCTTTAGGCCCAAAATGGCACACTTGGCCATGGCCATGTCCTGGGCCACTGTGTTGGGCATCACAATGGACACATATGTGCACAGAATTGACATCTGACTTAGGTGGACAAGAAAGGTGACCAAGTCCTTGGAGGAGACCCACGCAGATCTGTCTGCTTCCTCACTCATGCTGCTAAGCCCGCCTCAGTCAGGCCCTGTGTGCACCTGCACACAGGCTCTGAAGGCTGTGTCTGTTCTGCAGCTTTGCTGGGGAGCTGCAACCTGTTCATAATAAAGCTTGGGGATTTGAAAGAAAAAAAGAAAGAAAGAAGTGGCTGATCCTTGGTTTAGATACTATTTTTGTAAAAAGTATAAAAGGAAATCTTGAAAATCCTGTTTTATAAATATAGTTTTACAGAACAATTGCATAAGGCAAAAATGGAGGAGGGGTATCCTGAGAAGAATTAGTTTAGATTTGCAAATTAACAGTAAACTAAGGACAGTAGTTACTCTGCCATTCTCTGCTTCTACAGAAAAAGGAATAATTTAGGGTCTTATGCCTTTTGTGTTGAGAACCTATTAAATCTTCATCCAAAGCCTTGATTTTCCAAAAGAGGTGGAACATGGGAAGGATTTTGGTTGTCACCATATCAACAACATTCCTAACTAAAGAAACTTGTGACACAAGATCAAGTAGACTGGAGCTAGTTTCATTTATCATCCTTAGGAATTGAAGGTGTAGGACCTGCTCCTTGGTGATGCAGTGCAAAAAGCAGAGGCATTTTCCAACCATCAGCTGTTGGGAACTGAGGACATTCAGACGTGCTTGCATGTCTCTGATTCTGTAGTCTACCTGCACAGGGCTAAGTAATGAAACAGCTGTTCTTGGTCTCACTTCTTCTGAGACACCTTATCTCTTGCTTCCCTAAGTGCAGTACATCATAGAAAATTTTAATGTTTTGCTTTAATTCTTTGTTCTTTAGAAATAACTACTCATATGGTCAAGTAGCTGGCTGCCTGAGTTGTGGGAGGATAGTACCTATTAAAAGAAAAACCTTAGCAGTCATGTATTGTCTTTTTATAGTGAATGACAAAGTAATTTTCTTAAGAAGGTACTTTACTTTTAAAATTATTTTGTTTGCGATATCAGTTCCTGGTAATGTTTTTCTCATTTTTGTAGGAAGGGGAAAAACTAACTTATAATTACTTTTGGCTTCAAATTTATCTAGTTGAGTCAAAGAACATGATAGTTCCCCAATATATGAAGGAAGTATCATGTAGAAGTGAGATTGGAACTTCCAACTAATGAGTTTGAACAAATAATTTTAGCTGAATAAGGTGTCGTGTGACTATTGATACGTAATAAATTCAGTAACTTAAAGGATTAAAACAAACATTTTCTTATCTTTTGTAGTTTCTGTGGCTCAGGAATTCAGGAAGGGCTTGGCTGGATGGTTTTGTCTCAGGGCCTCTCACACAGTTGTAGGCAGGTGCTGGCTGGAGCTAGAAGAGCAGAGGGCTACAGATGGAGGTGACTTGGCATCTTTCCTCAATTAGTCTCCGGGCTTCTCCATATGATCTTTCCGTGAGGGCTGGTTTAAGCCCTCTCATCACATGGAAAAGGAGATTAAGTTCCCAGAGTGAGAATTCCCAAAGAGCAAGGTCGAGATGAATGAGTTTTATGATCTGGCTTCAGCAGTTGCCGAGTGTCACAAAGACCTGCTTAGGTTCAAAGCAAGTGAAACATGGCCCTCACTATTCCGTGGGAGGAGTGTCAAGATCATATTGTAAGAACAGTGCATGGGACAGGAGATATCGCTGAGGCTGTATTTGGAAAAAACAGTCTGCCGTTTTACCTATAAGGTAAACCTTTTTAATACTTAGAAACCATTAAAAATGAAACACCAATAAAAACTCTCAATTGCTGCTAACATTTCAGCTCACAGATGTTTTTTGTATCCCTGCTCTGTGTTAAGACTTATAGATGTGATAGATCAGTAGGATATAGTCTCTGTACTCAAGTATTTTGGGGGAAGTCAGACCCCCCCCCCCCCCCCCCCCCAAACATCAGCGACTTACTGTGATTTACTGTCAGCATACACAGAATGCTATGGAAATGCCTAGCACACTGCCTGGCACTTAGAAGTTCTCTCTTTTATCTAGACATTTGACTTTCAAAATGAAAAATAAACAAATGTTTAACTATTTAATAAATATCGAGCTGTAATTCTATACCAGGAAGTGTTCCAAGAACTGGAAACAGTGAGTAAACAGAACAAAAATACTTAGCTCATGGAATTTACATCCTAATAGGGAAGAAACAAGCAAATATCTGGTATCATAGATGATGGTTAGTACTGGAGAAAGATAAAATATACTATGAGTATTAGAGCCCCATGGGTGGGAGGAGATGGTAGTTTTTTTATAATATAACTTCTGTCATATTTGTTAGCCAACTGAATATATTTCTGTTTTTAGTAAATTCTGGTGTGTTTTTTAAAAAATATGATTAGTTAATCCTCTGAAGATGAATTTATCAGTTTGCATGTCCAATATGGAATTGAATTCACTAACAGTACTTACCAAGTGTTAATGATAATGCAAGAAAATAATTTTTTTTTTTTTTTTTTTTTGCTGCCACATTTGAAAAATAAGCAGGTAAGCAAAATTCTAGAGATTTTGGTGTCAGCTTTTTTTAATACATACTTTGTTTTTAACAGTATTTTTTTATTCATTATGATATATATCCTGTTCTTCATAGTTTCTTTGATAGGACTCTTTTTGGTTTAGTATAAATTATATATGACCTGATAGGGAAAAAAAGATTTTCAATGTTTGTAATAAAAATAACAAAAACTAGCATTCTCTTCACCACAAGTAAAGGACACACAAAGCCACAACATAAAGGTGTTGTGACTGTATGGTAACTACCTACACTTAGGGGTTTGTTCTTGCCTCATGTTCATGGAAATTATTTTGTGGCAATTACTTAAAAGTTTCATCTTAGTCTATATAGAAAGCAAAATGCTTGCATGTTACCCCGAGTCAATGCTCTTTTACATAGACAGAGAAAGAAAAATGAATGATAGCTTGGAAGATATGTTTGATCGGACGACACATGAAGAATATGAGTCCTGTTTGGCAGATAGCTACCCCCAAGTAGCAGAGGAAGAGGACTTGTCAGCTGCCACAAAGAAACCAAACAGTAAGGCTATTTTCTTACTAATTATGGCTTCTCGGTTACACTGAGTTCAGTAAATTAAGTCATGAGGCTAATTAACAGAGGCTGGTATATTAATTAAAGTTTCATGTTGTTTGTATAAATTTCTTTTTCATAGGTTTCTTTTTCTTTTTTTTTTTTTTTTTTCAGATTAATAGAAGAATTACAAAAGTAGTTCAGAAGGTTCCCCTGTACCTTTCACTCAGTTTCCCCTTATATTAATATCTTATATAACTGTGAAATACTCCTCAAGACTTAGAAATTAGCCCTCACTAGTGTGGCTCAGTGGATTGAGTGCTGGCCTGTGAACCAAGCTGTCACTGGCTCAATTCCCAGTCAAGGCACATGCCTGGGTTGCAGGCCAGGTCCCCAGTAGGGGGGTCATATGAGAGGCAACCACAAATTGATGTTTCTCTCCCTCCCTTCTCTCCCTAAAAATAAATAAAATATTTTAAAGAAGACTTAGAAATTAATCTTGACTTGATATTATAGATTTCTCTATAATATATGCATACATTTCATAAAATCTTTTAGAAACTTCTTTTTTAAGCAATAAATTAATGATTGTAATAGAGTGAAAAGAGGGTTTTGCAGAAAATTCAGGTTCATGTCCTGCTGGAATGCTTTACCTTCTCCAACAAAATACTTAATGTAACTATATACTTAATCTGTCTATATATAAGATTCTATGTATCTACATAGATAAAGATATATATAGTTACATTAAGTATAGAGATAGATAAATAGATCAGTCGATCTTCTTAAGATTCATTTTATTAGAAGCAGTAGTTTGTACTGTCAGGTAGCAGCTAAAAGAAGCATTCTCTAAGTGAAGCTCTTAAGTAGAAAGTCTGAATTGCAAGTTAGTTAAAATTCTCACAAAGTATCTCATTTTCTTCCTGTGAGCACAACGGTCAGAATTTTTAATGTTGTGCAAAGATATTTTTCATGTTGATTTAAATGAGTACATCTTCTGCTATGATACAGTCTATCTTGATTATTTTTTTCTTGTGCTTCTATCAGGTTTTTTAAATGACAAGTCTGAGCTCTGAATGAATGAAACCCTAAATGCAGACAAAGAACGGCATGCTTTGCTTGCATGGTCTATAGCAAAAACTTGGTCATGCAAATTTTATGATTAAAATCTACAACTGTTCAGTTCACTTTTTTCCTTCAAGAAGAGCCTTTCGCAAGTTGGTTTCATTTCAAACAAAAAAGGATGTTCTTTTACAAGATATAATTAACTTCTCTTTTTTTTAAGTTACATTTTATCCTGACCAATCCCAAAATTTCTTCTCACTTAGCTTTTGTGACAGTGCTCCACCATTCTTTTGAACTCTGACACCTTTTTTTTCTAGATTGCCCCCAACACTCTGTTTTTTTCTTTTGCATCGTTTTCCTTCAGGCTTTTATTAACCAGCTCTGACATTATGATCCCAAATCTGCACCTCTAGTTTGACCTACCTGATAAATTCCAGTCCTGCAATATCTTACTGTTGCTACTTTTGTGTTGCTTCAACAGCTTAAATTTAACACATCCAAACCAACTTCCATTTATGTCCTACCTTTCAGCTGTTTTTATTTTGCCTAGTCACCCAGGTGTGTAATACAGGGCTTACTGTTTGTTTATTTCATTTCCTTGACCCTTATATTAAAAGCTCTACCAAGTCTTTCCTTATAGGAAGGAACAAGTTATGGGGAGGATATCAAAAACTCAGTTCTGGACATATTAAACTAGTCATTCAAATGGAGTTGTTTAGTAGGCAGTTGATTTTAGTAGGCAGAATACAGAAATGCTTTTGAGGGGCAACTGCAAGTTGGTGCTTAAAGCCGTGAAACTGATTGAGATCATCAAGAAGTACATATTGAATGTAAATAGAAAAAAGGAAGTATTTTGAGTTCTTACCTCTGAGGTATGACAACTTTAAAAACAGAGATAAAGAAGAACCAGAAAAGGAAATTGAGAAGCAGCTGCAGCCAGTGACATGTCATGAGGGAAATCAGAATATGTGCTGCTGTTTTGGAGCCAAATGGAAAAGATGCTTTCAGCCTCAGTCTTGCCTTCTGAACCTCAGATTTGAATGCAACTACCTATTCGTCATAAATTCCTTGAACTCAATGTATTCAAATTAAGAATCTTTATTTTTCTACCCAAATTTGATCTTTCCCTGTCTTTCAGGGTTTCATTAAATTCCATTACCTATCCTCACATTTACCAAAGATAGCGATTTGACAGTCATCTTTTTCTTTCACGCCCAATCTGATACCCTGGCAGTCCTATTTCCAAAATGCATCCGGTACCACTTCACCTCTGTAGTCACCACCCTCATCTACACCACTCCTCTTCTCTCACGGGCCTTCTAATTGGTCTTTTTATATCACTTAGTTTTCCGCTCTAGGTCAGTCTCTAAAACAGAATCAAAGTGATTTATTTTAAATATAAACTGGCTTGTATTATCTTGCTTAAAAACCTTTCAATGGGACTTCTGCCAAGATGGAGGCATAGGTGGAAACACTGCTTCCTCGCACAACCAAATTTAAAGACAACAAAGTTTTAGTAAAACAAATACGCAGCCATAACACAGAAAATTAAACTACTAAAGTCCGACAACAAGGAACCCTTCAGCTAAACCAGTAAGAGGGGCGGAGCCAGCCGCTGGCAGAGTGGGGTTGCGCAGGAAAACTCGGCCAGACTGACCCAGGTGCATGGTTGGCAGTTGGTGAATCCCCAGGTGTGGGGTTGCCACGGGCAGACCCAGTGAGGGTGCAAGGTGGCAGGCTCACACATTCCCGCACAGATAAACCAGTGAAGGAGCCAGCAGTGAGACAGATTGCACAGGCCACAGTGGCTAGAAGCAGCAGAGGGGACTGCCATTGCCCCACTCTAACCCCACCCCCACATACAGTGTCACAAACCAGCGACCTGGATGGCTCCACCCTGGTGAACATCTAAGGTTGCGCTCCTCATATGTAACGGGCACAAACAGATAAAAACATGGCTCAAGAACAACTCAGAGCCCCAGAACCAATAAATCTAAGCGATGAAGAAATAGCCAAACTTTAAGGTGCACAGTTCAGAACACTGATGATCAGGATGCTTACAGAACTGGTTGATTTTAGTCACAAATTAGAGGAACACATGAAGGCTAAACTAATTGAAATGAAGGGAAATGCACAGGAAAGCAATGGTGATGGAAAGGAAACTGGGACTCAGATCAAGGGAGTGGACCAGAAGGAAGAAAAAAATGCCCAAACAGAAAAATATGAACAAACACGAATTCAAAAAAATGAGAGGCTTAGAAACCTCCAGGACATCTTTAAATGCTCCAACATCCAAATTATAGGGGTACCAGGAGGGGGAGAGGAACAGCAACAAGTGGAAATCTTATTTGAACAAATAATAAAGGAGAACTTCCCCAATCTGGCAAAGGAAATAGACTTCCAGGAAATCCAGGAAGCTCAGAGAGTCCCAAAGAAGTTGGACCCAAAAAGGAACACACCAAGGCACGTCATAATTATATTAGCCAAGATTAAAATGAAGGAGAGAATCCTAGGAGCCGCAAGAGATAAGGGGATAGTCACCTACAAAGGAGTTCCCATCAGACTGTCAGCTGATTTCTCAAAAGAGACCTTATAGGCAAGAAGGGGCTGGAAAGAAGTATTCCAAGTCATGAAAGGCAAGGACATACATCCAAGATTGCTCTATGCAGTAAAGCTTTCATTTAGAATGGAAGGGCAGATAAAGTGCTTCTCAGATAAGGTCAAGTTCAAGGAGTTCATCATCACCAAGCCCTTATTACATGAAATGTTAAAGGGACTTATCTAAGAAAAAGAAGATAAAGAATATGAACAGTGAAAGGACAGCAAATTCACATTTATTAACAACCACACCTAAAACAAAAGCAAACTAAGAGGACAGCTAGATCAGGAGCGGAACCATAGAAATGAAGATCACATGGAGGGTTAGCAACGGAGTGGGAGGAGGAGAAGGGGGAGAAGATACAGAAAATAAGAAGCATAGATGGTAAGTAGAAAATAGGGAGAGGGCAAGAATAGTATGGCAAATACGGAATCTAAAGAACTTGAGACACATGGTCATAAACTGAAGGGGGGGAAATGGTGGGGGAGGGGTGTGCAGGGTGGAGGGGAATGAAGGCAGGTAATAGAACAACTGTAATGGCATAATAAAAGTTTTTAAAATTTTTTTTAAAACTTTCAATGGAAAGAAGTTATTTGAATGGCCAATAAGCATGTGAGAAAAATGCTCAACATTATTGGATATCCGGGACAAAGATACCACTTCACACCTGCTGCAATGGTTAAAAAGACTGGTAATATCTAGCATCAGCAAGGGTGAAAAGCCGCTGGAGCTCTCATACACTGTGGGTGGGATCATAAAATTGTCCTTTGGAAAACAGTTCAGTGGGGTTTTTTTAACAGCTTTATTGAGGATGGTCAGTTTTCTGTCATTTAAGTACACACCTATCCTGTGACCCTGCAATGCCTCCCCTGCACGTGATATACTCAAGGAAAATAAAAACATGCTCACTCACAGAAAGATGTGTTCAGGAATGTTCATAACAGTGCTATTCACAATAGCTCGAAACTGGAAACAGGGACTTCCGGCCAAGATGGAGGCATAGGTAGACACACTGCCTCCTCGTACAACCAAAATAAGTCAACAAAATTCTAGGAACAACAAAAAAAACCAGTACTGACAGAAAATTGAACCGTATGGAACTCTGACAACCAAGGAGTTGAAATAGACACATTCATCCAGATCAGTGGGGTCGGGGGGCGGAGTCAGGTGGCCAGATGGAGAGAGGTCGAGGCAAAAGAAGCAGTGGCTGATGCACCCCAGGCGTGCAAGATAGCAGCAGGTAGACCCAATGATGTGGTAGATTATGGAGGGGCATGGTACTCGAGGTGGCTGGTGGACCGGGCAGTCCCACATTCTCATGCAGATAAACTGGGTGAAACTGGGGCATGAGACAGGCCACCCAACCCAGGGCTCCAGCTCGGGGAAATAAAGCCTGAAAACACCTGTGGAGGTTGAGGTACCGGGAGAGACTCCCAGCCCCACAGGAGAGTTCATTGTGGGTACATACACAAGCCCACCCACACGGATGAACACCAGAAGGGCCCAGTTTGCTTAGGGAAGGGAAGCGGTGGAAGAGACTAAAATCTGGCAGAGTAGAGTAAGTGCCATTGTTCCCTCTTAGACCCCGCCCCTACATAGAGTCACAACCCAGTGACTGGGTTGACCCGCCCTAGGGAATACCTAAGGCTTCGCCCCTCATACGTAAAAGGAGACAAGACTAAAAAAGTATGCCTCAAACAGAACAGCCCAAAGCCCCAGAGCCAATACTTCTAAGCAACAAAGAGCCAACCTGCCAGGTGCACCCTTCAAAACACTGGTGATCGGGATGCTCACAGAATTGGTTGAATTTGGTCGCAAATTAGATGAAAAAAATGAAGGCTATGCTAAGTGAAATAAAGGAAAATGTACAGGGAATCAAGAGTGATAGGGAGGAAACTGGGACTCAATGGAGTGGACCAAAAGGAAGAAGGAAACAACCAAACAGAAAAGAATAAAGAAATAAGAATTCAGAAAAATGAGGAGAGGCATAGGACCCTCCAGGATATTTTTAACCGTTCCAACATCCAAATTATAGGGGTACCAGAAGGGGAAGAGGAACAGCAACAAGTGGAAATCTTATTTGAACAAATAATAAAGGAGAACTTCCCCAATCTGGCAAAGGAAATAGACTCCCAGGAAGTTCAGGAAGCTCAGAGAGTCCCAAAGAAGGTGGACCCAAGGAGGAGCACACCAAGGCACACCATCATTACATTACCCAAGATTAAAATGAAGGAGAGAATTCTACAACCAATAAGAGATAAGGGGACAGTCACCTACAAAGGAGTTTCCATCAGACTGTCAGCTGATTTCTCAAAAGAGACCTTATAGGCAAGAAGGGGCTGAAAAAAAGTATTCCAAGTCATGAAAGGCAAGGACATACATCCAAGATTGCTCTATGCAGTAAAGCTTTCATTTAGAATGGAAGGGCAGATAAAGTGCTTCTCAGATAAGGTCAAGTTCAAGGAGTTCATCATCACCAAGCCCTTATTACATGAAATGTTAAAGGGACTTATCTAAGAAAAGGTAAAAAACGTGTATAGTAAAATGACAGCAAACTCACAATTATTAACAACCACACCTAAAACAAAAACTAAGCAAACAACTAGAACAGGAACAACCACAGAGATGAAGATCACATGGAGTGTTAGCAACAGGGGAGTGGGAAGAGCAGAGAGGGGGAGAAGGTACAGAGAATAAGTAGCATAGACAGTAGGTGGAAAATAGACAGGGGGAGGGCAAGAATAGTATGGAAATGTAGAAGCTAAAGAACTTACAAGTATGACACATGGACATGAACTAAAGATGGGGAATGTGGGTGGGAGGGGGTGTGCAAGGTGGAGGGGAGTGAAGGGGGAAGTGGGACACCTGTAATATAGCATAATCAATAAAACATTTTAAAAAACTGGAAATACCCCGAAGTCCATCAGCAGGCAGATAAATAGAAATTGTAATGTACTTAAGAAGAATACTACTTCTCAACAAAAAGGGGTATCTACTAGACTCAGCAACATGAATGAATCACTAAGACTTGTGAAAAATGCAGAAAAATGCAAAAAATCAAAAAGGATACATGCTATGTAATCCCATTGATAGAAGTTCTAACATAGGCATGACTGAGGTATGGTGATGGAAGTCAAATCAGTGATTATGGGGGACAAGGAGGCATGAGAGCATTGTGCAAAACAGTGGAATATGAGGAAACTTTCAGGGGTGGTGGAAATGTTCTTGAAATGTACGCTGAAATATACATGTGTCAAAATTTAGAGTACACTTAAAATCAGTGTATTTTATATGTTAATTATACTTCAATAATGTAGATTCTTTTTTTAAAAAAAGTCTTGAGTGGCTTTCTGTTGCACTTAATAAAATTCAAACTCCTTTTGGCCTCCAGCGTCCATTATGATCTGGCACCTGCCCACCTCTTCATCTTCATCTCCTCCAACATCTCTCTCTTTGCTTGAATCTCTCTCTCTTCGCTGAATCTCAACCACACTGGCTTTCTCTTAGATTTTATAACTTACAAACACTTGCCTATCTCTGGACCTTTACCTAGAACATCCCCCACTCCTACCTCTTCCCATGGCTGTCTTCTTGTTATTCGTCTGGTACCTACATGTTCTTCTTCAGATAAGTCTTAGCTGTCTGCCTGCTTAATGTTTAACTTCCTGCTTGCTTAATGTCTGTTTCCCTCACAGCATATAAAATTCATGAGGACAGGAGACCTGGACTCTCATTCTATACTTCACATCCAGAACTTAGCATGATGCTTAGTAAATTTTGATTATTTGAACATATGATAATCAGTTGTCTATTTGAGTATAGAAAACTTCAGATTCAGAGTCCATGAGTTCTAGTTTTTCTACTTGTTTTTCAACTTTCCAATACAATTTTTTAATCTCTATATTTCCTAGTTATAACCTACCTTAAAGACACAAACTAATCAACAGAACTAATAAGTGAAACATATTAAAAGGTGTCAAATGATAGAAGAGATTCTTTAAAGTCTAAAATGATTTTATAAAAGTATATGAGACTTTTTTTAGTTTCTCTTCTGTTTGTAGACTTATATGTAGCTTTTAAATCTAAAATACATGATTTTTTAGATGATGATTTTTACCTCAATATTAATTTTAAGGTGAGATAATTAGCATTCTTGCTTATTATGCAGATGAAAAAGAAAGAGGAAAATAAGTTATTAAAAATTTTAATGAGTTGCCCAGGGGTCTAGAGTATGAAACCCAATAAAAATGGAAGGTTTGGTACATGGCCCTTTTCCCCTACTTTGCCCCCCTCCCCCCCAGAAAGCTAATTATTTCTTAGTAATTCTGCATTTGTTTTTGGTGTGCTTCTTTTGTTTACAGCTCATGGTGATAAGCAAGATAAAGTCATACAGAAAGCATTTGTGGAGCCATATTTTAAAAATAATGGAAGGTAAGTTGGTCTTGATAAATACCAGCAATGTGATTGGAAGTAAACAGCTTTCTTTGTCAGAGGGTAATGGAGTCTGTTCCTGTACCTTTTGACTCTAACAAAACTGGAACTCAAACTTTATAAAAGTGACAGATTTTATAAATAAGGACATTTTTACCACCACTGCATTTAAAAAAAATAATTGTCGTAGTTATTTCCTCTGCTTTATTTTTTAAAATATTCTATTGTGAAGTTTATATGAACTTTGGGAATTGTTTAAATTGTGCACTACAACTTTAAGGCTTTCGGTGTTAAGCCTTAGGTTGTGCTTCAGAATTCTAAGGATTTTTAAACCTTCAAAGTAAGTTAATTTTGAACCATAATGCCACATTCTGCTAAATTCTGTCACTTTCCGTCATGTATTATTCATTGTAGAAATGAATTAAGGTATGGTAATTCATTCCCAAGGTTTTTTTATGCCTTTTTTTTCCTTTTAAGTTATGATGACAAATTGAGTCATTCAGTAAGCAAAATTATTCTTTTTATTTCTGTCAATTTTAGAAATCTGACAGACTAAGATACATTTTTATTGATGTCTGTAAAACTCTAACAGATAAAAGCATTCATTTTGTGGCTAAATGATTAATTGTTTTTCTTTATTTACTAGTTTTTCAAAGAAATACTATCCTAGCATCTCAAATATGACCAGGGTTTTGTTTGTTTGTTTGTTTATCATTATGAACTCATGGATTCAAATATATTTGATGTCTCAATCCATTGCAGTTGTCATCCTTTCTGACCCCAAAGTTGTCCCATGTTTGCCCACTTGAAGCCTCTTTGAATCGATATGACTCTAAGCATCTTTCATCGCTCCCTTGTTTCTGGTATGATAGATGGCCCTTGTACACTTCCTGCCATTGGCAGCAGTCTACCAGAATCTATCAGTTCTCCAACAGCCCTAGTTTTTTGATTTTTGTTTTGTTTTTAATTGAGAAATGCTATTTAGGCCACAGTCTAGCCACTGAGGTTGCCCATTCCAGCTGCTAGTCATTGTTTCTAGACCTTTTTGGTGGACAGAGTTAGAAATAAAAGTTTTTGTTTTATTTTGTCTTGTAAGGTGCACCATACTTACTTATACTGATAGCTCCCATTTAAGTTCAGGACTGCCGGATTTTTACGTGATTTCCCATGTCCCATCTGTACCTGCTTTCCCACCCGAGAATTCCACTTTTTGGTCCCACCCGCATCATTCCTCCTTTAACTTTATTCCACAGTGCACGCACAAAACAGTCTCAATAACACAGTTTGTCGCCAAGCATAGATTTTGGAAAATGGCATAAGAGTTTTTGTGTCATTTTATTTTTAAGATATATCTTATCAGAATTATATAATCAGTTCACTGTTTTAAAGTTGCTTCAGATCATTATTTTCTTTTTTAATATATATATTTTTACAGTTTTATTTATCTTTAGAAGGGAAGGGAAGGAGAGAGGGAGAGGGAGAGAAATATCAATGTATGGTTGTTTCTCGTGTGTCCCCTGCTGGGAACTGGCCCCTGCTAGGAACTGGCCTGCAACCCAGGCATGTGCCCTGACTGGGAATTGAACCTCGATCTTTTGGTTCACAGGCCCACGCTCAATCTACTGAGCTATACCAGCCAGGGCTCAGATAATTATTTTCTATGCAGTTATGCCACCAACTCAGTATCCAGTATTTCGCTTTTTATTTTTTACACATTGTTTTATCTTTAATTCTTTTTGAAATTAGGTAAATTATGTACAAGGTACCAGAGACTACAAAACAAGGTATATTCAAATAAGTCTAACCTCTTATCTGTTAGCTTTACCCTGTTAGCTTCCTATCCCTGAAGGTAACCATTTGTTTAAAGTTTATGGTCTTTCGCGTATTTTAAAAATAAAACTAAGTTTGTGTGTGTGTGTCACACATGTCAGTATAGATACCTGTAGCCCAACTCTCTCCCCTAGACAAGTGGGAGAATGCTGTATATGCTCTCCTCTCCTTTGCTGTTTTTACTTAAATCACTCATTGTAGTATACGGTGCTGTCCTCATTTCTTTTTTCAGTTTCATAGTACTTTATTGACTGTACCATAGTTCATTCTTAGCGATGGACATGTGAGTTGTTCATAGTGATGCTAATGTGCACAGCACTGCAATAAATAGCCTTTTGCATTTTCTTCTCAAGTTTTCACCTGTGTATCTTTGGGATGGATTTCTAGAAGTGAGATTGCAGAGTAAAGACTGATTTCAGGTGTTTACATTAGAAGTTCACTAACTTTTAAAAAAGTATCTGAGTAGTTTGTATATTCTGAAACTGTTAGGTACCTGGAGGTCCAGGAGGGGGATAAAGATGTAGGGGTGGTAAAAGTCTCCGAGTTCATGCGGTTCCTTTCCCCACTGAGAACCCTAGTAAACACTGCGTAGGTGGGTGGGTTGTGTCGTGTCAGGGACAAGAGGCTTAGGCACCTGTTAGGTGATACTTTGAGGCCTGCTGCAGATGCCAGTGCACTAGTTAATTTGCTGCTGTGTTACAGCACTCATGGAAACAGAATGGATAGTATTCAGAAGAATGGATATGGCCAAATTACATTCTGTGTAAGCATAAGATTCCATACCTATCTGGAAGAAACCCAGTGACGGCAGTATCTCTGTGTACCCTCTCGTCATCTCCCTGTTTAAATTTACAGATTACTCCAGAGCTTGAAAGCTCTTGAGTTAAGGCACAAAAGGAGCTATAACTTCATATACTTTGAACTAGAATAATTAAAGCTTTTTTGTTTTGTTTTGTTTTTTAAGAAAAGTGCTTGCCACCCAGAGGCGCTTGTGACCAAAATACCCCAAAGTAGAATATGTGTTACCAGCAAGTCATTTTTAAACACCCAGTTTTTATGAGACTGGTTAAACTCACCAGGGGGGTTTCTAATATCTGTGTGTGTGTGTGTGTGTGTGTGTGTGTGTGTGTGTGTGTGTGTGTGTGTGTGTACTATCACATAACTTTTCATTTACCTATCTTGTCAGTTTGAATTTTTCTGTATTGGGTTTTGTTTTTGAAGCAGGATACAAGTATAATAATAATTTTAAAAAACGTTCTTTGCTCCCATGGCATTTTCTTTCCAGAGTACTCCACACCTTTCTGATCCGTACCTTAGTGGTTTTGACCCTTCCAGGGTCTCCAGTGCTTCCCAATAGGATCTGATCCATTTGAGGACAAATGTAAATGATAATTTTGCCTAGTATTTTGAAGAATGTAGGAGGGATGGGAGCAGCATAACAAATTTTTAGAACAAGTAGCAAATGACGTACGAATAGATGAAACTGTTCTTTGGCAGGGAGATTAGCCCTGAAATACGGGTTCTTAGCACTGGAAAGTCAGGTTAACAGAAGCAGTAGTCTCTTTCTTAGTTATGTTATAGAATACTAATTCCTGTGTTTAATAATATAATATTCCTTTTTAATTATGTTATTTTATATTTTATCTCCTAATTATTATTTTCAGCCAGAGGCAAAAATAGGAAGCAATAGTTTGTATTTTTCAGAGAAAAATATCTATAAAAATACCTCACACATAGTAGACAATAAATATATAGTGAAGAATGAATAAAGAAATATTTGTTTTCCTAACATACTGAATAAGCATTTCAAATAAAATGAATGAATGTTTTGGGATTATTTCTTCCCATGGGCTCTCACCTTTGTTAATTTAAAACCTGAATCAAAGATCTTTATAGTAACAAATAGATTATCAGTAATTTTAAATTTAATTCGTCTTTTCCCCAGAGAGACTGGCTTACAAAATTTTCCTCACGTTGAGGTAGTTCGGAAAAAAGAAGAGAGAAGAAAGTTGCTTGGACACACGTGTAAGGAATGTGAGATTGTAAGTACGATTGTCAGCACTGTTCAGTTGGGGCGTTTTATGGTGTGGCTTTATAGAGCATGAGTGCGTGATTTAAAGATCATAGGTACAAATTACATTTGTACCAGGAAACCTAGTGTAAGCCAGGAGTAAATAAAGAGTATACTGGCTGTGACCAGAGAGACATAAATAGATGAAAATGAAAGTCCTTAATTTCCCTTACATTTTTATTAGTGAATCTGGAATATAAGAACAAGCTCTTATTGCCACTTTAAAACATTTGTGCCATTTTTCTTTTCTATATTTATTTGTTTTTAATTTTCCCTTGGGTTACATTACAGCAAAGGCTCTTATATATTTAATTTGGGGGGGTTAATATTCCAACAGGAAACTTTATAAAATTTATTATTCACACCAGTACTCTGGAAATGAGATATGCTCATAATTGGGTTTTTTCCCTCTAAATAACAGATACAACCATAAGCTCTTATTTTTTCCCCATTTTCCTTTCTAAGCAAAATATAATGAATAAACTCTACTATTTCATCCTTAGAACACAGTTATATTTTTCTTTTGTACAGTGGCTGTTTTGGATAGTACAGTTGTAATATGTAGATGGTACTAATTATCTTATTACTAAATAGTTCTGTAAATAGGCAGGTTCTGTGTTTTCTTGAAACATGCCATTTTTATTTCTTCTCTGTTATTCACTAGCTATCAAATGTCAGCTTTCAACAGCTTCCTTCCTCTTTTCAATTTCCTTTTTAACAACTCTGGGCTTGAAAATTTAATAACCAAGCACATTAAATTTAATATGTCCCTGGCTGGTGTGGGTCAGTGGATGGAGTGCCTGCCTGCAAACCAAAGGGTCACCAGTTTGATTCCCAGTCAGGGCACATGAGGCAACCACAGATTGATGTTTCTCTCTCTCTCTCTCTCTCTTTCTCTCTCTCTCCTTGTCCCTCCCACCTCCCTCTCTAAAAATAAATTAATAAAATCTTTTTTAAAATTGTGATATGTATCTTTAAATCTCTTTTGCTAGAAACACTGTTAATTGCTCCTTCTCTCAGGATTAATTTCCTGAGAGAAGCAAATTAATTCTGTCTGTTTTACAGTCTCTGAAAAACATTGTTTCCTACATTTTATTCCATTGTTTTAGTTTAAAGTAGGAGGGTAAATCTACTCCTCCTGACCACGGGTGAAAGTGCCAGTCCCACACACTGAAATGTTCCCTGTAAGGTTGCAGTTCCGAAATGTGTCCCATCGCCTGTTCCTCGTGTGGAATGTGGAATGCACATGCGCACATGTCATAGTCATGTCACATTTCACATGTTCAAAAGCAGATACTCAGTGTCTACTTGCAATTCCCAAACCTCACCTCCGTGTCTACTACCTGCCCACCCTGCTAGTTGTTTAAAACATATAATGTTTCAAGAGTAGTTAGCCTTTGCTGCTTCTCTCCTGGCTCAGTAACTAATCTGTCAGCAACTCCGATCCTGTTTCCAGTCACTTCTCTCCACCACTGATCCCTGGACCAAGGCATCAAGTTTAGTCCAACTATTGGAAAAGCTCTTCAAGTGCCTTCCTTGTATCTGTTTGTTTTTTTTGTTAATAAATTACTTTTTAGAACAGTTGTAGGTTCACAGTAAAACCGAGTGTTAAGTACAGAGAGTTCCATATGCCCCCATCCCCATCCCCCTTTTCATTCTCCTCTCTTCACGGTGCACTTCTCACACAGCAGTGAATGGACTTTTTTTCCTAATGATCTTTCTAAAATAAAAGTTAAATCATGTCACTTCTCTATCCAGAACACTTCAATGTCTTTTCATCTCACTAATAAATAGAATCTAAAGCCCTTATCAGGGACAGTAAACTCTGGTATCCCACTTTTTCTGACTTCATTTTCTACCTCTCTCCCACTTGCTCACTGTGTTAAAACCACACAGGCCTGCCTTGTTTTTGAGTATGTTGCAATTGGGTGATAGTGTTTCTCAAACATTGATCGATAACTGATTCTCAAAGGGCAGCCCATCCCACTTCCCAGGCTAAAGTAACAAAGTCAATGAGGATGATGAAAAAGTACCCCCCAAAAGTTATTTTGAAAATACTCAAAAAGCTTTTAATTAAGCTGTGTAAAAGAAAAATGTATGAAAAACCTTTACTTCGAACTTAATTTTTGTTCTAAGTCTGCCACTTTCAGTAGGTAGTGAAATCTTTGGTAAATTATCCTTTGACTTTTAGTTTCTCAACTATAAAATGAATTTAGCTGGCTTATGTGATCCTACGTTTATGTTCTCCCAAACTTCACACTTCTGCTTTGTTTTCTTTAGATCTAGAGCTTGAAGACCTGTACAGTTTGTACATACAAGTTTCATCCATGCTTGCATGAAGTTCAGGGTCTTTATGATTGCAGTTACAAAAAATTACATGCCCTTGATCTAATGGAAAAGTACAGTTTAAGGGGAAAGTTATGAAGCCTATATATAGCATTCAGAGCCTTTAAGCTTGTGTATTAAAAAACTGTAGGCATAGGAAAATTACTTAAACATACATTATATTCAAATAACAGTTGAGAAAGTGCTATTCAAAGTGCAGGCCTCTGCACTCCTGTCACTGGTGTGACAGAGGGGAAGAGTTTGCACCAGTGAACAAATCAGCTGTATCACTAGGCACATCGTAAAGTTCTGCTGGCATTTTTTTACATTGTAAGACTTTACTGATAAAGGAGGCTGGTATGGTTTCGTTTTTGTTTTTGTTTTCATTTATTTTATTTTATTTTTTTTATATTAACTGTTCTTTTACTCCCATCCCAGCCCACCCTCCCAGTGCCCCCCACCTCCCTCCCATTGCCACCTCCCTTAGTTTTTGTCCATGTGTCCAGTATGTTGATTTACATTGTAACACAATCTCCTTTGCTCATCTGTGAAGAAAGCATTTCACAGACCAGCACTAATTACTATTAGTAACTGATGTTACTATCATCAGCAAGTATTGTTTCCTTAGCATCCCTAATATTTCAATAAGTAGATTTTTTAGCTTCAAGTTTATAATTAGTAAGCATAACACTCCATATTATCCCTAAGTGAAAGATTTACCATTTTTTCCTGTTAGTATTATGCAGACATTCCAGCAGAAGAAAGAGAAAAGAAGTTGGCTTCCTGTTCAAGACACCGATTCCGCTACATTCCACCCAACACACCGGAGAACTTCTGGGAAGTTGGTTTTCCTTCCACTCAGACTTGTGTGGAAAGAGGTGAGAGTATAGATTATAACATTTTCAAATTACTTTTTTAAATATAGTTACACCCAAGTCTGACTTTTTCTCCATGGTTCTCCTTACCATGGGTAATAGTTTTGTGACATAAAACTAAATTCCCAAAGATAAAAGGCTCACCTCCAACTCTTAGTTTCACTGGAGTCAGGGATTATTCATGATGACGTCAGCATGATTGTGTATGCGTGATCCTGGTTTACCATCCAAGTTTGAGAAAGCAGTTACTCTTTCATGCTATCATCAAAATGACTTTTAATAAAGTGAATAGTTTTATACAAGTTGCCAGCAAAGTTTTATCTTTAAAGCAACTATGAATTTAACAGTTTAAAGCCCCACTTACCCAGAATGCTGGTTATTTTTAAACCATGTATGAGTAAAAAAGACCTTTGTTTGCTTAGAAAAATGCAACGAGCTCCTTCAAATATGACACTTCCATTTAATATAATTTGAGAATGTATGTAACTTTAGTGTTTCAGATATTTAGTGGTAAGATAGTTTTCCCAAAAGATGCAGTCTTTGACAGCCATTACTGGATTTCCACTTTCCCCATTATCAAGCCAATTCCAGTCCTCTTTGACATGATGTCTCTGCCTGGTCCTCATGCAAAATCAGGCAGTCTGGATGCCAGTCTGTGTTTGTACTGCGAATATAGCCTTGGGATATGGGTGGAGCACAGTTCTCTCCTTCAGACCACATGATTTTACATACCTGAGGAGAATCAAATAGTCTGAAGAATATAGGGGCATGTCATTTAATGAAATAGCTGCTACAAAAAGTCTTTTTCATAAACACCTGGAATTTATTATAGTAATAAAGGTTTGTGTTTAGCCATTGTCCCCATTGCAGCCTGTGGGAGGCAGATTAGGAAAGTGCCTAAGAACTCTGGTTCCGGAGTCAGATCTTGAGCAAAGTCCCAGCTCTTCCACTTCCTAGCTTTGGGAACTTGAGTGATTTAATGTCTCTGGGTCTCCATCACCTCATCTGTGAACTAGATATAGTGGAAGCTACTTCAAAGAAATGTGTTGTCTGAGACAACGTAGATGACACATTTCCTAAATGTTTATGGCTATTATTCTTAGTATAAATGAAGAAAGTGATGCTAAGTAGTGACATCATTGGTCAGCATCACTCAGCTAATAGAAGAATCACATAAACTTACAAGTCATTAAGTAAGACAATGTTTACTGGATATGTGCTGAAAGGAATTTATGTTGCAGAACAGTCTTCTCAATTTCTAATTTGTTTTTAAGGTTACATTAAGGAAGATCTTGATCCTTGTCCTCGACCAAAACGGCGGCAGCCTTACAATGCAATCTTTTCTCCAAAAGGCAAGGAGCAGAAGACCTAGATGTTGAAGCAAAAACCTGATAGAGAACAATTTCTTCTTTTTGGTTATTTATAGCTAATGGTGATATTAAACACTGATTTTTTAATTTTCTGTAAAATGATTTATAAGTCATTTTTCTGTTCAGTACATTTTTAAACCCCATTTACCCACCACACAACTGTATGGATAAGTTTTTTTTGTATGTTTTTGTACTTTTGCACCTTTCAACAATGAGGTACTTTCATTTCGCACTCTTAAGAGTTGTTTGCTATTACCAATTACAGTTCTGAAAATATGATCTAGTCTGTGATTTGTTACCTTCAGATCTTTCTCTTCTGTCTTCAGTTGGCATTTACATTCAGCAGTGACTTTGTGTGAATCATTACCAGTTTTCATTCTCTTAAGATCAGTTGCTCTTCTGCAAGTCATTCCCATGTCTGACATTTAAGTCTTTTTTTAAAAAGGCCAAATTTTAATAGTTATTTTAACTTTCCAGCTTTTTTCTTTTGTCACTTGAAATGAAGTACTACTGTATGGTATGTTCCTTTTGAAGTGACCACAAATATCAACTCTTTCCTTTTGCATATAACGTAAATTAACATCATCCTCTGATCTGATGCTAATATTTTAGATTCTCACATGGTTTCTTTTCATTATACTTTTTTTCTGGTGCAGTTTTCAAGCTGGATTTGTAGAGTTCTTTGCCCACATGTTCAAGTTCAGTTTATTGATTGTCTGAATTGACTGAGGTTCTGAACTTTCAGTTTGGCAACAAAACAGATTTCTCTATTTAGCAACTTGCTACTGCTCTCGGACCTAGTGTCTTGAGTCATTAAGGTGACTGGGCACATTTGTGTCACCTTTTCCTAGTGGCATTTTGTTGCTCTTTGTCTTTTTTGTGTATCCTTTTAATTCATATCTTGATAGTTTACCGTATTTTGCTATGTATAATGTGCACTTTTTTGCCCAAATTTTTGGGGGAAAAATAAGGATGTTCATTATACATGGGTAGTACCTAAAATACCTCATATCTTGTTCCTGTGTTTTGTAATTATTTGTTACATAAAATTTCTTGTACCATATGTTCAAAAATAAATGCTAAAATTTCTTTATAATACAAAAAAAAGTATCTAAATATAAACAAATAATTCAATTAAAATGAAAGATTTTTTTTCCTGAAAGTTTGGACCAGAAACGTGGGTGCACATTATATGTGGCAAAATACAGTATACAAGGAGGACTGTGCAGGACACTGAGTGGAGCACCTGACTCAAATCCAGGTAACCCTGCAGGTACAGTCTACTCCTCGGAGGTCCTGAACACCTTTCTGCTCAGTCTTGCTCATTGATCAAGGTTCTCATGTGAGTAGATGGCATCAGTTGCGTTCCCACAGAGAGGACTGGAAAAGAAGCCACATATGTTGAGTATCTACTTATGTGTCAGATTCCCTGTGTACATTGTTTGGCTCTGAATGTGAGTCTGAATTTTTTATAACCCTATCATAACTTCTATTCAGCACTTATCTTTCCTTCCCAAATTGTTCATCTCTCCTGTTTGATTTTTTTCTCTACTGGCCATTACTTAATCTCCCCCAAAATAAGAAATCATTCATTGGTCACATACTCTATGCCAGGAACTGTATTATGCTCTAATAAGTAAAAGATGAAATTAGAGCTTCTTATTGCCTAATTCCAGAATTAGATCTTGTATCTGCTATAGGCAAGTGCTTCTAAAGTCCAGGAATCTGAGAAGTACTTGGACTTGAATAGGGCACCACCCGGTTGTGCAGTTAAAGCTCCAGTGGCTTCTACTATTTTAAAAGCAGCTGGGGCAGACACAGTAAGAGATTGTTTATCTGAGAGTGGTTTGACTACTTGGCAATCCAGCTAGCCCTTGTATAACGTTGTGTAAACTCAGATCTTTCTCCCTTTTTATCTGCTAATGACTAGCTCTACCTTTAAGTAGTCACAGAATAGATGTTTTTCAACACACTTGAGTTAGAAGGATGCATCTAAATGCAAAACTGGAGTATAGGACAGATGTGCACTTTCAAACTTTTTTTTTAAAAGCTTTACACCATTACACTTTTTTAAAAAAGATTTTATTCATTTATCTTTAGAGGGGAAGGGAAGGAGAGAAGGAGAGAAATATCAATGTATGGTTGCCTCTCATGAGTCCCTTGCTGGGAACTGGCCTGCAACCCAAGCATGTGCCCTGGCTGGGAATCGAACCGTAATCATGTGGTTTGCAGACCTGCATTCAATCCACTGAGCTTCATCAGCCAGGGCTTCAAACTTTTCTTTCAAAGATAATGTATATGTGCCCTGGCTGGATGGCTCAGTTGGTTGGAGCATTGTCACATACACCAAAAGGTTGCAGGTTCAATTCCTGGTCGGGGCACCTATGGGAGCCAATCAATTAATGTTTCTCTTTCTCTCTCCTTCCCCTCCCTCCTTTCCTGTCTCTCCCCCACCCCACCCCACCCACCAAGAAAAGGAAAAAAGTCAATAAATCATACCCTCAGATGAGGACTTTCAATAAAGTCCTCATAAAGACTTACAAATAAAGATAATGTATATAAAAAGGGCTTTTATTAATTTGTAAAGCATTATACATTAGATCATATTTTCATACAAATACATGTCAATTACTGTGTGTGGTATGTATGTATATAGTTTCAGGTTGTCTGTGAGCTTTTAAAGTTGAAGACTTCTGATTTAAACTTTGAAAAGATGCAGAACCTATGTGTTAGCACTTAACAACTGAATTAACACCTTCCTGCCTTTAAACAAGCAGTTATTTGGATTAAACCATTTGAAACCTAAGATGTCAAAGGCAGCAGTTTGAGTTAATCATGGATGCCTGGATGTATGTAGAAGACCTAATGTACTACATAGAGCAAATGAAGCAGAATATTCCCTAACACCTTTCATGTGAAAAATTTTCCAAAGTCCAACTGAATTTAAGCTGCATCCAGCATATATATATAAAAACGCATAGAGGACATTCATTGGCCCCCTAAATGAAATAACTAAAAGACTACAAAGATTCCTCTGCAATAGTCTTTAATTCATAATTCAGTTACCAAAAAAGGAATAGTGTTACATAAAGCAGATACTAATACCTTTATTTAACAAACATTTATCAAGCACTTTAGCAGGCAAAATAGTAAGTATGGTATCAGACTTGGGCAAAATTTGACACATTTTCTTCAAAGGAGCAAGCTTTTAAAGAAACACATTTAAGACAGCATATCAAGTATGAACTTCATTTTGCAAACTGCCACTTTAGAAATAAGCATTGACATATATGTCAGACTTTACCATCCAGCTATTTTCAACTGTTCTAGCAGTTTAAGCGACATCTCAAAATCTTTCTTTTTGCTGACTTGATGCTGTTAGAATGGTTAGAGAACTGAAGTGTCCTCACACTGGAGTCCTGTAGCCTGCACTTAAGCAGTTACGTGCTATCACCAGCAGAGGCCAGAAGAGAGCTATTTTTGGAGAATAATCTGGAAACTAGGGGCTGAATGGGACTATCAAAAGAAAATTTCCAGGATAAATACATGAGTTGGGAACCTTTAGTACAGTCATGAAAGCTTGAAAGCAACAGGGCAAAAAGCAAGCTTTCAATGTAGCTCTAGTTGGAATAAAACAAACGGCAGAGGCAATAATCCGTGGTCCTGAGGGGAAAAATATCAATAAACATGCCACATGCTAGGCATTTAGGGATACAAAGAGATATGTGAGATCCCATTATTACCCAGTGGGAGACCAAGCACAAACAAACAAAAATGCCTAAGAGGCCAAAGAGGCTTAGACTGAGTACAAAGAAATATTAAGGATAATGAGAACCTGAACTTGGAAACAAATACCAGGAGTCCGAAGAGGCCTAGAGATTATTTGGTTCTGGGCTTTCACTGTGTAAAGAAAAATCAGAAACCTGAAAAGAGTGACCTGCAAGGTCCCAATGGGCTGGAGCTAGAATGTCATCTGGAACCTCAGTCTGGTGCTTTTGCCCCTTCCTGGGTCCCGAGAAGCAGGTTTGTATAAGTAGTGAGGCAGTAAACTTGTATCTTAAAGGCAACGCTAAAGAATTTAGACTTGAGTATTTAGGCCTTCAAACCATTAGTAGCAGACTCCTTTATTCAAATCCTACACAGAACCTCAATCAACAATGATGTTTTAAAGACAAGTTTATTTCAAGCATTCAGATTTACCACATTAATCCAATCAGTAAGCCTGGGTAAATAACAAGATTGTGAAATGAGTCATGGATGGCAGGTTACATCGCCCCAGCAACCATGATAGCCCAGACAAATGTTTGCTGCACCCCAGACCAATTATATCAATGTTTGGGGCAAGCTCCAGGCATCAGTATTTTTTAAAAAGCCCCTTAGGGGGCTGGAAATGGGAGGGAGGTGAGGAGCACTGGGGGGTGGGCTGGGATGGGAGTAGAAGACAGAAAACTCTACTTGAACAACAATTAAGAAAAAAACACCTCAGGTGATTCAAGTATGCAGCCAACTTTGAGAACCACTGCTTTAACTCACTGTTACAGGCTAGTTCAATGGTGTTCAAACAAGTGTACATCAAAATCACCTGGGAAGCTGATTTAAACCACATACGGGCTTTACCTCAAAGTGGGCAGGGGCCCAAAATGGACATTTTTCACATTTCCAGTGGGTGCTAACGCTGCTGGTACAAGGACCACCAGTGCCTTATGAAACCCCTCCAGATGAGAGATTCTCAGGCTCCTTCTATAGACATTTTGATTCAGGTATACCCTGTGCATTTATATTTTAAAGTTATCAGATTACTAGCATGAGACAAATTGAAGAAATGCTTAAAAGGATGAACTAAGTAGCAAAAATGTTAAGTTTTCAGGCACCTGTTGGCTAAAAATATGTTGAGTTGCATAGTAATGTATTAACTTAGAAATAATCATCAGGCACCATATACAGTTGACTGCTGATCACGTTTGAACTGATAAATGTGCATCTGGCCTTCCGCATCCCCAGGTTTTGCATCCTCAGATTGAAGCAACTTCAGATTGAAAAACGGTATTTCCCCCCAGGACTGGGCATCTGTGGATGCTGAGGACTCCTTGTGTGCATCGTTCTGCCCCATGTTATGTAAGGGATTTGACCCATCTGCAGACTTTGGTGTCTGTGGGGTGTCCTGGAACCAGACCCCCTAGGATACTGAGGAACAAATGATGTTTTGGGGGGACTAAGGGTGATATGCAGATTTTTTCCTGTACAAGGGTTCTGTGTCCCAAACCCCCACATTGTTC